CCCCCACATCCAGGCCCCCCCCCCGCCTCCCTGCGCCCGCGGCCGGCGGCCCGGCGCCGCTGCAGGACCAGCTCGGACCTGCTGCCGCGCGATCGCGCCTCTGCCCGCCTCCGCCCCCGCGCATGCGACTTCACGCGGAAGCCGGGCACCCGCACTCGGCGCTGGCGCGCACCGACACCCTCGGCGACCACATGCAGAGCTCACGCCCTGGGCCCCCGCACCCCAGCGCAGCCCACGTCCCCGCGCGCGCCTCCGCATCCCCCCGTGCACACGTACCCCATGCACTCGGGCACTCCCCCAGGCCCCAGCACCACGGCCGCCCTCGTCGCCTCCCTCACCTGCCCAGGCTGCCCACAGCAAGAGCTGGAACGTCCAGGCCGAGGCTGCGCCAGGTGGGGGGCGTCCCATGGTAGGTCTGGGACAGGCAGAGGGGGATGGGCAGGAAGTAGGAGCCTGAAACCCCCGCGCCGGCTTTGGGGGCTGCGGAGAGATTCTGGGTGCCGTAGGACGACGGAGTTAGGGATCCAGGAGGACGGATTCTTGGGTCCGAGGAGAACGGGACAGGGGCTCCAAATTCCCCAATCTGAGTGGAGAGAAGGTGCGGGCGAAAATGGATTTCTACCTCCCGAGAGACGATGGAGTTGGGGTTCTGGACTTGGGGTCTGCGGGGACAGGGAGCGGAGCTGTCACTTCTCGGTCCTGGGAGGAGAGAGCTGAGGTCTGAGTCTCAGGGAGAGCGTCTGGGGCGGAGGGCCTGGGGTGGAGCGGGAGGGTCCCTGGGCCTGCCTGTGTCTGACACCGCTGCCTCACCTTCCAGAATCCGGGGGCGGGGCCGCCTACTGATGCTGACCCCGCGGAGAGGCCCAGCGCGCAGCTCTGCGTGCCCGCGGCCCAGCTCTGGAGCTTTAGAGCCGGGAGTGCCCGCCTCCTGCCCCGCCCTCGCCAGCACCGGGGAGCAAGTGGGAACTGGAGCCCTGGGTGTGAGCGAGGAGGGCCAGGCCGAGGGAGGAGGCTGCAATCTGGGACTCCGCAGGCCAGGGAGAGGAGGGGCTCAGGAGTGCGACCTCCAGGTCTGAAACGGGACAGTCTGCGGGCTGGACTCCTGGGTCTGAGGGAGGAGGGGCTGTGGCTGGGCCCTGGGGCTGGGAGAGCAGAGGCTGGGGCCGGACTCCCAGGTCTGGGGAGGCGCTGAGGTCGGGCTCCTGGATCTCAGAGAGAAGGTCCCTTGTGTCCAGATCCGGCCAGGGAGGTGGCGCTGGACCTAGGCTCTTGGGTCTGAGGAAGGTGGAGCTGAGGCCCAAACCCCTGGGCTTGAAGAGGAGAGGAGCCACATTTTTTTTTCCTTCAAATAATTATTTATTAAATTATTTATTTTCGGAGAGATTTTTGCTATAAGATGCATGCACTTGCCAGAGAGACAGAGACAGAAAGTGAGAAATCATCCCCTAGAGGTGATGCCTACACCACAATCCCTTCTCCTCCATGCTCCTCTTGGGATTTGGGGCACGTATGCATACGTGCCTGGCATGAGTTTTAAACCGCCAGATCTGGGACTCCATCCATGGTCAACTATGTGGGAATCCAGTGATGTAACCATTATACCATTTGCTGGTCTCCCTATTTATTAGTATTATTATTATAATTTGGAGAGGTTTTTGCTTTAGGGTGCGTGCACTCACTAGAAAGACAGAGACAGAGAGACAGAAAGCGAGAAATCACCCCCCCCACACACACACCGGGGAATGGCCATGCTGCAATCCCTTCTCCTCCATTCTCCTCTCAGGATCCTGGGCACGCACGCACATGCACCTGGCGTGAGTTTAAGCCACAGGGTCTGGGACTCAAACAGCAGTCGACTACGTGGGAGTCCAGCGACGTAGCTATTGTACCAACTGCTGGTCCCTATTACTATTATTTTTTAAAATTTGGTATGGGGATCCAGCAGGTGGTGTGGTGGTTAAAGATGCTGGAATCCCACATGACTGACTGCAGTTTGAGTCTCAGACTTGGCAGCTTGCTTTCTCACTTTCTGTCTCTTTCTCTGGTCAAATTTTTTTAAAAATCAAATAATAATAATAATAATAATACACAAAATTTAAAACCAAATTTAGTATGGGGGGCTGGCAGGTGGTGTGATGGTTAAAGGGGTTGGGCTCCCACATGGCCAACCACAGTTCAAATCCCAAGCCTGGTAGCCCAAAAATCACATCAGGAGCATGCATGTGGAGGATCAAACTGGAAAATAATAATAATAAATAAAGTTAAATAAAATAACTCTAATAAACAATTTTGGTACAGACTATATACACTCACCGAAGAGAAAGAGAGGGAGAGAGAGGGAAAGTGAGAAAGCAAGCCGCCAGGTCTGGGACTCAAACTGGAGACGACTATATGGGAGTCCAGCGCCTTAAGTACGCCACCTGCTGTCCCCTGGGAAGCAGAATTCTTTTTTTTTTTTTTTTAATAGAGATTTAAAAAATAGGGCTCTAAGGGTCACAGGCAGAGAGACCAAAAGTAAGAATTCAGTTCTCCCCTGATTTCAGGTACACACAAACATACACCCAACGTGAGTCTAAAAGCCACTGGGTATGGGACTTGAACCCACAACTGACTACGTGGTAGCCCAGCAATGTAACCACTACACCACCTGCTAATAATCCCTAGGGAGGCAGAATTCTTAGCTCCCTTTGGAAGGAGGGACTTGTGACCTGATTCGTGTGAAGAGGGGTTGCCTCCTGTGTCCCGGTAAGGGACAAAGACGAGTCTGCGCGGTTCCGACTGCTGAGGGCGGACCGGCTCCGCCCGCTGCCCCCAAGCGGGCAGGGATCCGGGAAGGCAGGTTTGGGAGGAGCGGCGACCTGGTTTCCCCTTCCCCTGGAGGCAGCGAGAGCAGCCCAAGCTGAACCCAGGAGCCTTGCGGCAATAGGGCTGCTGGAGTCAGGCTTCAGACAGGACTGAGGAGGGGCTCCAGGGAGAACTGCCACTCGGTGGTTCCCTCATCTGCCTTTGCCGCCCTCCCGTGCCCCCCTCACTCGGCAGCTCAAGCAGACGCATGGCGACGTTCCTGACTTTATTTGTAAAAGCACGCATTGGCTATGAGGGAATCGAGATCCTCCCCCGACATTCTCAGTCGGGTCGGCGCCAAGATTCAAACCCAGAACACGCCCAGGGCGGGGCCACAAGGGGCGGAGCCCCGACGCTGATTATGCCCTTACGTGGGCGGGGCTTCCCGGCCCGGACCACACGGTGGCGGGTCCTCTGGCGGAGGAGGCGGGCTCCAGAGTGCAGTGGGGAAGTCCCATTGGGCAAAGTTCAGAGGGGCGGGGTCATTTGGTGGGAGGCGTTCCTGGGGGCGGAGCCACATGCTGCGCAGTTCCAGGGGCGGTGTGGGTTCTCGGTGACGTCGTAGAGACGGAACCCGCAGCGGAGTCCATACTCCGTCCGGAGGGGGCATGGCTGTGTCGCGGTGGACCCGCGCGGAGGCGGAGCCTGAATGTCCAGAGCGTTGTCTCCCGGGCAGCTGGAGGTCAAGGGCTTAAATCCTACAGGCGCGGGCCCTGCGGAAACTCCCTACCCGGCGCCTACCCTCCTTCTTTAGTCGTTCAAGGCGGAGAACTTAGTTTTCCTCCATGACGTTTTGGATCCAGTTCGTGTAGTGGCATACGCTGGTGTAGACCGCAGGTTGCCGGGGTCTGGAGCAGGGCTCGCCGCCCCCAGACACTATACCAGCCAAAATCCCGTCGCAGACCAAGGGTCCCCCAGAGTCGCCCTGAGCGCAGAAGACCGGGAGAAACTGTTAGGCTGCTGTATACGCGACAGTTCCACCGCCCACGTCCTTTTCAGGGAGGCCCCAGCTTCAGCTCAGCACCCAGGGGCCCAGGTTCTCCAGCCTCCCCTCCCTCAGACCCGGGAGTAAAGCTCAGAGAGTCCACTTCCCCGGGACCTGGAGTTCTGGGTCCTAACACTCATCTTTCCCAGGACTCACACTATGAACCCCAGCTCCCTGCACCTTTAGATCCAGGAGTCTGGACCCCAGCCTCGGTCTTTAGGCTCCAGTCCAGGCCCTGACCCGTTCTCTCCCAGGAATCACATGGGCCAGGCGCCTCTCCCCATTGATCTAGGAAGTCTGGGGCCCCAGCCCACTGCTCCTCAAAGATGCTGGAACTGCCTCCTCCTCCTCAGACGGAGTCTCACCTGGCAGGAGCCCCGGCCCCCCTCCCACAGGCCGGCGCAGATCATGTTGTCCGAGATGTGGCCAGGGTATGCCCGGTGGCAGAGTTTGTTCTCCAGGACGCTGACGTTGGCACACTGCAGCGTGACCGGGTACTGCGCTGTTGGGCAGAGGACCGCAGGGTCAGCAGCTGTCCTGCTCGCACTCGGCAGCACCCGCTCCTGGGGCCCTCCCAGGCTTCCCAAGGACGACTGCAAGAGCACGTCACAACCCTCTCAAAGAAAGCGACCAGCGACAGTGACAGAAGAGGAGCAGCTGGATCTGAGGAGGGGCTGTGGGCCAAAGGCAGAGAGAAAGATGCAGAGAGACAAGAGATGAGAAGAGAAAGACAGATTGTGGGAGGAGGTTAGACCTTGTAAGGGCAAAGCGATCCTCAGAGGAGTCAATGAAGAAATGGGGGGAAAGGTGGGGCCAGCAGATGGTGTGGAGGTTAAGGTGCTGGATCCCACATGGCTGGCTGTGTGGTTCGAATCCCAGACCCAGGGTTATAAAACACAGCAAGCGCGTGTGCCTGAAATTCCGAGAAGAGAATGGAGGAGAGGGTGCTGTGGCTTATGTAAACTCCTCCAGATTTTGGATATTGGCAGCCACAAATTCAGGCTGCTTTTTCCCAAGACATTGAAAACGAAGGCTGACATGGGAAGCCCGCTGTGGCAAGAGGTTGCTGGTCCGTGACTCCGAGAAGCGCAGGCTTCCTGTGGGTCCTAAGATGCACGTTCCTCCACATGGAAATGTCTCTGACATGGTGCGCTTTCTGGTAAGCGGTGTCACACCACCAATGGGACTTTTTTTTTTCCTTTCTATTTTTAGTGGTTCATAAAATAATGACGTATCTCAAAAATTACAGCAGCTTTAACCTGATGAAATATATTGAGAAAGAGAGAGAGCAACACCCGAGAGTCGCAGATGCGGATATACTGAACAGATGCACATCTATAGGAGGGGACTTCAGAAAGCTTATGGAGGGCCAGCCAGTGGAGTGGCAGTTAAGGTGGTCAGGTCCCACAGAACAGACTGCACAGTTCAAGTTCCGGACCCAGTGACTCGAAAACCACACCAGCGTGTGTGTGTGTGTGTGTGTGTGTGTGTGCCCAAAATACTGTGAGGAGGCAACCAGCAGTTAGTGTAATGGCTATGTCGCTGGACTCCCACGTAGTCGACTGCGGTTCGTGTCCCGGACCCGGTGGCTTAAAACTCACGCCGGGCGCGTGTGTGTGCATGCCCAAGATCCCGAGAGGAGAATGGAGGAGAAGGGATTGCAGCGTGACCATCCCCCCTGGGGGGTGATTTCTTGCTTTCTGTCTCTGTCTCTCTCTCTCTGTCTGGCAAGCGCACGCGCCCTACAGTGAAAATCTCTCCAAAAAAAAAATCCTGTGAGGAGAATGGAGGAAGAGACTGTGGAGTGGCCATCCCCACTGGGGAGGTGGTTCCTCCTTTTCCCTCTCCCTGTCTCTCTATCTCTCTCTCTATGTGCCCTGTAGCAAAATTTAAAAAAAATAATTAAGTAAAGTATAAATATCTTTTTTTAAAAAAAAGCTTGTGGAAAACAGAATTAATCCATGCATAGTTTTTCCATGATACACATTTTCCCATAAACTTTTTAAAGATCCTCTCGTATAATGTATGGATGCAAGAGAGGGAGAGAGAGACAGCAATAGAGAGAAAGATAGTGACAGAGAGAGAGAGAGAGAGAGAGAGAGAGAGAGGGAGGCGAAGGCCTGAAAAGGCAGAGACGGAGGGGCAGGAGAGGCCAGGCCCAGGCTGACAGGTGAGGGTGTGCCGTGGGCAAGGCTGTGTACCCTTGGGGCTGGACACGGCCCCCCAGCCAGAGATGAGGCACTGGGTGCCTGGGGAGACGCAGCTGTCACTGATGTTGAGCGGCTGCACTGCGGGACCCAGACGCGCCCTCCTGGGCAGGCGGACCAGCATGATGTCATCGTTGTGGTCGTTGGCGCTCAGGTCGTTGTTGAACCCAGGGTGGGGGAAGAACTCCGTGGCCCGGAACAGCTGCTCGGGACCCTCCCATCGCCAGAGGTGGTGCTCACCCAGGCGGACCCACAGGTACCTGCTGGGACAGGCCTCCAGGTCATGCGGGGCAGGGGGTGGTCCTTCCGGTGCCCGCTCTCTTCTTCCTGCCCACCAGGGGCTATATGCCCTCTCAGGGCGGCCCTGGGCACTGGGTGATTTACGCCTCTGCCCCGCTCTGGCTTTCTGTCTGCTCTGGCTCGAACCTCTCCTGGCCCCGTGGGGAATGAGCCGGCTTCCTTCCTGCCCCACCTGCAACCTCGGTGGTGACCTGGGCTCCCCGGAACCCTGTGGGCATGTGGGGGCCCCACCTAACACACAACAACAGCCCCGCCCACTGCCCCCGCAGCTCTGATGGCTTCTGTGGGAGTAGCTTTGTGTGTCTGGCAGGGGTGCGTGTGTGCGTGTGCGTGTGGAGGATGGGCTATGAACGACCCCCAAGTTCAGGGTCCTAGGTGGCCTTGGGCTTCTTCCATCCTGTCCCTTAACCTTCATGCCTCTCCTCCTGAGGTCTAACCTGAGCCCTCTCGCTGCAGTCCTAGCCCTGACAGCGGAAGCCCTCGGGGTCCGCACGGCCGTCCCCTAGCTTCTGGACTCTGTGACTGAGAATTCAGAATGTGGGGAGTAGGAGGCATCATTTCTGCCCTGTCCCTGTCACCTCAGTGTCCTGGCTGTGGGCCTGGGGAGCCAAGCCCAGTCCCTACCACCACTGCATCCCTTCTGCTTGGTCTGGGGGGCCAGATCTCAACACCATTCTCCCAGGTCTGAGTTAGAGGGCCGTGAGGCAATGCATGATGGGAAATGTCCCAGGGCATCCCGGACCGACATCTGTGAGTCCTTCCTCGAGGGGAGAACGCCGGAGCAGCTGGTCAGGCCCCTTTCAGAGGAACGCAAAGGCGATCACCACATGAGCAGAGGCTAGGCTTCTGCTAGAGTTCCTGGAGTCTAAGGTTCTAAAATTCTCCCATGGTTCTGGAGTTCAGTGAGACTCAGGTTCTAGACTTCTATGAACCCGAGATTCTGTTAGTCTAGGTCTCTCTGGATTGACAAGTCTAGGATTCCTAAATTACCGCATGGAACCTAAGACGTGGGCCAGCCAGTGGTGCGGTGGTTAAGGCGGCTGGATAGCACATGGCCGACTGCACGGATCAAATCGCACACCCGGCAGCTTGATAAACATGGGTGAGTGTGCGTGTGTGCCCCCAAACCCCAGGAGAAACAGAAGGAAGTGCGGCCCGACCAGCCCCACGAGGGGTGCCTTCTCACTTGCCCCCTCTCTCTCACTCTCTCTCTCTCTCCCCAGCGAGCACACATGCCCTCTAGCAAACTGTTAGGCTGCCAGGAAAGTCACGATGTATTTTTCTATGTTTTTTTTTTAATGCAAAAATGTGTCATGACTTTCCTGACAACCCAGTAAAACAAACAAACCCAAAACAAGACTTAGAGGGCCTTGAACTCTAATACTGGGGGCGACGAGACTAGAGTTTCATCATTGTGGAGGTCTGCACATCTACCGTTTTAGCAATCTGAGAGTCAGGATTCAGATAGTTTAAGGCTGTAGAACCCCCTGGATTCAGGTTTCAGATGTAAGCACCTGGAATGTTAGCGCTCTGGGCCATTACATTCCGGAGAGTCTAGACAGCACGCCACGGGCTTCTAGGGGGTTCTGCACTCGAGATCCGTTCTGGGACTGTTTCTGTTTCCAATAAACCCAGCGCCCTGAATCTTAGCTCCTAGGGCCGAGGCAGCCGGAGGACAGCTGGTCAGACAGACGTGTGCCGCGTGTGCGAGCACGTGCCGGCGTCCGCTCACACGGCAGAGGCCTGCCACTCGCAGCTGCTGAAAATAGGCCCCATGGTGACATAATGGCATCTCGAGCCTGTCAGGCTAAATCTTTTATTTCAATTTTGTTCCTTTCTGCTTTTCTTTCTCTCTCTCTTTGATTCTTTTTCTTTTTCCTCTCTCTCTCTGCCTCCCTCCTCTCCTTCTTTTCTCTCTCTTTCTCTCTGAGAAATTTTTTTTTCTCTTTTTTTTTTTTGCTACGGAGCACATGTACTCGCTGGAGAGAGATAGAAAAACAGAACGCAAGAAATCACTCCCTAAGAGGATGGCCACACTGCAATCCCTTCTCCTCCATTCTCCTCTCGGGATCTTGGGCACGCACGCACACACGCCTGGCGTGAGTTTAAGCCACCAGGTCCAAGACTTGAACCGTGGTCGACTACGTGGGAGTCCAGCGACATAACCCCTATGCCTCTGCTGGCCCTCTTTTTACTTCCTTAATGTGTCCACTGGAAACCTTCAACCTACCAGGAGACCGGCCTTTGTCCGCACCGGGCACCGCTGACCTCGGCTGCTCAGTCCCATGGTCTCTGAATGAGCCTACCATTGTGAACCACCGCGGCTACCATGGAGTCTCACAGACCCGCGATTTTAGGGTTCTACAATTCTCGGCTCCTCTGGGTCAGAGTCTAGAATTCCAGAGCCTGTGTTTCAAATCTTAGGTCTTTCAGGACCCTAGTTCCAGAGTCCGGGAGACCCCCTTGGTCCTTCCGAAGGTGGGGCTGCCGGAACTGAGGGCGCCAGCTCTCCACCTCCCGCTGCCCTTGCCCTCTCCAGCCCTCCAACACGAGGTCACTCACGGCTTGCGGCAGTGGGCAGCTGTGAGCAGCCAGAGGTCACTGATCAGGGTGGCCCCACAGAAGGGCCGGGTGAAGCGGAAGAGGCCAGCCTGCCACGGCTGCGAGTTGGGGCGACATTCCTCAGCCCCGATGGCACGGGTGTCTGCCCAGCTGTGTCCTGGGTGAAGATGGGGGACAGGGGTCAGTGACAAGCAGGCTGGGAGGGCCAGAGAGAGGATGCAGAGAAGCCGAGAGGGAGGGGCAGGAGCCTGGGTGGACAGAGCAGGAGCCTCACCTGCCAGGAGACAGAGGAGAGTGCAGACGGATGGCAGCTTCATGACCTCCGGAGCCCTCGTCCTGGCACCCGCGCTCAGGGCCAGGCTTCTTTATGGTAAGCCATGCTGTGGCCTTCCTCCTTCCCGGGGCCGCCCTGTGATTAATCCGGTTGGGAAACGTCCCGAGGGAGGGGGAAGCCCTGGGCTGACAGAGGCCCTGGGAGGGGAGGTGGATGCAGGGGACCCTTGTCAGGATGGGCCAGAGCTCAGCTAGACACGGAGGGGAGGGCACGGCTGCCAGAGCCTGCTCTGGGGTCTTCAGAGTGAGGAGTCGCCATTCCCCATGGCCTTGGGTGGTGGGATCTGGGTACAGACTCTCGTGTGACCTCTCAGGGTTGTGGGATCTTGGAGTGGAAGCAAATCTCGTGTGTGTGCATGTGTGCGTGCATGTATGTGCATACGTGTGTTTTAGTTTGCTCACCAGAGAGAGACAGAGACAGTGAGAGGGAAAGTGAGAAATCACCCCCCAGGGGGATGGCCACGCTGCAATCTCTTCTCCACTCTCGGATTTGGGCCATGCACACACACGTGCCCAGTGTTGCTTTCCTCAAGCCACCAGGCCGGGGACGCGGACTGTGCAGTCGGCCATGTGGGATCCAGCCGCCCTAACCACCATGCCACCTAGCTGGCTGGAAGTTCCCTTTGCATGAAGCAGTGGCCAGGGCAGGCTGGGGGGCAGGCAGGAGGAACAGCCAGAGCACAGGCTTAGGGCAGAGCGAGGGCTCAGAGGGAGGCAGTCGGGCACCCGGGTGCGCCAGGGCCGGGGAGGAGGAAGGGCAGACAGGGAGGGAGAGGCACAGGAGGGGGAGGAGTGGGAGGAGTGGAGGAGGGGCGGAGGGAGGATGGAGAGGAGCCCAGGTAGAGGCAGAGATGCACACAGAGCTGCGGAGGGCAGGGCCAGGGCAGGTGGCAACACCCCGCCAGCCTTCCCTGCCCTGGGGACTTGGGCCCTCCCCACAAAGGCCCTCGAGAAGGTTGGGAAACCTGCATTAACCCACTCCTGCCATAACTTGTTCCTGTCTTCACCACCCCACCCCCAGGAACCCGGGTCTAACCAAGCACCCCGCCCTCTCTCAATAAAACTTGATGTTTGCCAAATCGCGAGAGCATTTGCCACGTCTTTTTTTCTACCCATCACCCCCAACCCTTGCCCTCTACTTTCTGTCCCATCATTCCATCCCCACCCCCCATCTCTCCTTGTCAACGGGTACTCAGCCCCTGGAGTCAGGCCCGGGTCTGACTCATCTGTGTCCCAAGCGTCACCCAGCTCTGGGCTGGGCTCCTAGGCAACCTCCGGAGATGGTAACGAAATGAGTGAATGTCTTTCTCCACATCCTTGTTTTCCTAGTAAACTCCTCTTCATCCTTCAAGACCCAGCCTAAATGCTCCCTCCTCTGGGAAGCACTCTCTGATTTCTCCAGGCAGAGTCAGCCCTTTCCTCCTGTAGACGGCTCACGCCCCGTCCACTTTCAGCGTTCCACAGGCTGTGTCCAGCTGGGTCTGGCTCCCCTCGAGTGCTCCCTCACGGTGGTGGCGCCGTTTGGAGGACCCACTGGAACCGAATCATCTGTGCTCATGTGTGTCTCAACACCGTCCGTGATAAGCCACCAGGCCTCCCTCGGTGGCTCAACCTGTTCATCTGCAGTAATGACCAGGGTTTCTGGGGATTAAGGGGGTCACCACCCACGGGGCTCTTGCGTGGCGAGCTCTCAGTAGCTACTGCATTTCTTTCCTTTTAGGTTTTGGCCATAGGCTGTGTGCACTGGCCGGAGACTGGGAAAGTGAGAGATCACTCCCCAGGGGTATGGCCACACCGCAATCACAATCCCTTTTCCAGTCTTCTTCTGGGATTTTGGGCATGCATGCACTAGCACCCGGTGTGAGTTTCAAACCGCCAGATCTGGGATGAGAACCACAGCTGGCCACGTGGGAATCCAGCACCGGAACCACCACGCCACCTGGTGACCCCAACCGGAGTGTTTTTATGCTTTTCCTGCAGAACCCGCTCTGCCTTCTCTATGGCACGTGTGGCTGGGACTGCCCGTCTCACTCCCTCTCAGACGGTGCTGGGGACCAGGAACCAGGAACTCACTACGTGGGGTCTTCCAAAAGCTCATGGAGAATATGAGGAAAAATGCACGCGTGGGGCCCGGTGGGCGGCCCAGTGTGAGGCGCTGGACTCCCCATGGCGGACCACGGCTCAAGGCCTGGACCCAGCGGCTTGCTTTCTCACTTTACCTTTCTCTTTCGCTGTCTCTCTCTGGTCAAATGAAAAAATAATAGTAACAATCATAAATAAAATAACTAAATCATTTTTAAAAAAAGAAAAACCTATGCATAAAGTTTGAAATTTTTTTTTAGGTTTTTGCCATAGGGCGCACGTGCTTAGCAGAGGGACAGAGACGGGGGAAGTGAGAAATCGTTCCCTGGGGAGATGGCCAGGCTGCAATCCCTTCTCCATTCTCCTCTCGGGACTTTGAGCACGCACGCACGTGTCCGCTGACTTTTTCAAGGTGAAGGGCGCTGTCGGCCGTGAGTGGTCCAGTCACGGTAACGTCTGTGCCACCTGCTGGCCCCCCTTTGAAGAACCCTTCTTTTTCCCTTCAGTTTTCTGCTATAGAGCGTGAGTGCTTGCTGAGAGACTTGCGGGAGGGATGAGGGGAGAATGGGAAATCACCCCCAGGGCCATGTTCACTCCGCAATCCCTTCTGCACTCTCAGGGTTTGGGTACGCACACACATGTGCCTGGTGTGTTTTCCAAATTGCACGGGCAGCTGTGTGGGACCCAGCTGCCTGAGCTCCATGCCACCAACCAGCCCCCATTTTATTTTAAAATTGTCAGAGGGCATGTGCACTCGCCAGAGACAGGGAGGGAGAGAGAGCGAGCGAGAGAGGAAGCGCTCCCAGTGGGCGTGGTCCCGCCGCAGCCCCTTCTCCTGTTCTCCCTCCTGTCAGGATTTGTGGCATGCACTCACATGTGCCCGGCACCGGCAGGGCTAACCCTGAGGCCATGGCACCAGTCCAAAGGGCATCTTAAAAGTACCTGTGTTGGGACCAGCAGGTGGCTAGTGGTTAAGGTGCTGGACTGTTACATGGCCCATTGTGGTTCAAGTCCCGGACATGGTGGCTTGAGAATCATGCCAGGCACATGTGCGTGTGAGCGCCAAGTTGCAGCAGGAGCATGGCGGAGAAGGAAATGTGACGTGGCCAGTCCCCGGGGGTGACTTCTCGCTTCCACCGTCTCTCTCTGGCAAGCATGTGCACCCTATGCAAAAACCTTGAAACAACAACAAAAGCACCTGTATCAACTCTTTTCTTTTCTTTTCTTTCTTTCTTTCTTTCTTTCTTTCTTTCTTTCTTTCTTTCTTTCTTTCTTTCTTTCTTTCTTTCTTTCTTTCCTTCTTTCCTTCCTTCTTTTTCTTTCTTTCTTTCTTTCTTTCTTTCTTTCTTTCTTTCTTTCTTTCTTTCTTTCTTTTTTTTTTGAGAGGTTTTCACTATAGAGTGCATGCGCTCCCCAGACAGAGAGAGACAGAGAGACAGAAAGTGAGAAATCACCCCCCCAGGGGGGATGGCCACACCGCAACCCCTTCTCCTCCATTCTCTCGGGATCTTGGGCAGGCACGCACACGCACCTGGCGTGAGTTTTAAGCCACTGGGCCCAGGACTCAAACCGCGGTCAACTACGTGGGAGTCCAGTGACATAGCCATTAGGCTAACTGCTGGTCCCATGCACTGTCTTCTCTGTGACTGGTGTTAGGTAAGCATTTCATGTGTATTATCTCACTTAATTCTCACAACGATCGAACCAAACAAGCATGTCAGTGACACAGAAGAAAACACTGGGTTAGAAAGAACATTCGGGGCTGGCAGGTGGCATGGTGGTTAAGGGCGCTGGACATTCACATGGTCGACTGGGGATCGAGTCCTGGACCTGGCGGCTTGCTTTCTCACTTTCCCTCTTTCTCTCACTCTGTCTCTCTCTGGTCAAATTCACATGCATACATACATACAAGTAAATAGTTACATAAAATAATTCTAAAAAAAAAGAGCACTCGAGGAGAGCCAGCAGGGTATAGTGGTTAAAGTGCTGGACTCCATGGCTGACCAGTTTGAATCCTGGATCTGGTGGCTTAAAAGTCATACTGGGGACCAGCAGGTAGCATGGGCAGGTAGTATGGTGGTTAAGATGCTGGACTCCCACATGGCCGACTAGAGTTCAAGTCCCAGACCTGGTGGCTTGCTTTCTCACTTTATTTTTTTTGAGAGGCTTGTGCTATAGGGCGCGTGCGCTCGCCAGAGAGACAGAGACAGAGAGATAGAAAGCGAGAAATCACCCCCCAGGGGGGATGACCACGCTGCAATCCCTTCTCCTCCATTCTCCTCTCAGGATCTTGGGCACGCACACACACATGCCTGGCATGAGTTTAAGCCACCGGGTCCAGGACTCGAACCGCGGTTGACTACATGGGAGTCCAGCGTCATAGCCATTACGCCAACTGTTGGTCGCCTCACTTTCTTGGTCTCTCTCTCTTGGCTTCTCTCTCTCTGGTGAGTATATGTGCCTCATAGTAAACTTAAAAATAATGATAAATACAATTAAATAAATTAGTTTTTAAAAATTTAAAAAAGAATTATGCTGGGAGTGTGCGCCTGCCCCAAATCCCAGGGAAATGGAGACAGAACTGTGGCATGGTCATCCCCCGGGGATGATGGCTCACTCCCTCTCTCTCTCTCTCTCCCTATAGCACACGTGCTCTATGGCCAAGACCTGAAAAGGGAAGAAAGCGCATTCGGTGATGTGCTCCCGGCCACTCGGCAGCTGGTGATGCAGCTCCTCCTCACAGCCCAGCACGGTCCCTCGTGGAGACACCTCCCCCGGCCCACTCCGCGGTGTGCCCGCACCTGCTCCCAGGACCGTGCGGGGCAGCTCCTGCTCCTTCTTCGTTTTTTTTGTTTTTTTGTTTTTTTTTTTTTTTGAGAGGTTTTTGCTATAGGGCATGTGTGCTCATCAGAGACAGAGACAGAGACAGAAAGTGAGAAATCACCCCCAGGGGGATGGCCACACCACAATCCCTTCTCCTCCATTCTCCTCTTGGGATCTTGGGCACGCATGCACTCGTGCCCGGCATGAGTTTTAAGCCACCAGGTCTGAGACTTGAACCGCAGCCGACTCTGAGAGTCCAGCGACATAGCCACTATGCCATGTACTGGTTCCCCCTTGTTCCTTCAACAACATGTTGAGCAGCTTCCGTGCTCTGGCCCTCAGCAGGCTCACAGGGGATGCATAGCGGAGGCCGGCCCTTGCAGACTGTGGTGGGCAGGGACATAGACCACATGGAGCAGAGATGAGCTCATCCCAGCTGTAGCACGTGCTGCAAAATAAATCCTTGGGGGCCAGCAGCTGGTGTGGTGCTTAAGGGCACTGGACTCCCACATGGATGACCATGGTTCGAGTCCCAGACCTGGCGGCATGCTTTCTCTCTCTTGCTCTGTCTCTCTCTAGTCAAATTAAAAATAAATAAATAAATAAAGTTAAAATAATTATTAAAAAAGGAAAGAAAGAAATCCTCAGAACAATGAGACTGACCACTCAAAGGGGACCCTTATAGACAGGGCAATCCAGGAAGGCCTCCTTGAGGAGGTGCTCTCTGGAGACCTGAATGACAGGAATGCAATGCTGTCCCCCTGGCCTGACTAGCAGCTCCTTGAGGGTGAGCCAGGTCTGATTCATCATTTCTGGGGCCTGACGCAGGACGTGGCTCAATAAACATTGCCGTGACTAGAGGAGCAGGCGAACCTCCTTGTAAGGTGCCGAGTTTCTGTGTCCCCACCTACTTTACTTCTGACCCTTGGGTGACAAAACAGCTGACACGCCTGACCGATCCTTCCCGAGTGTGCTCCTGGGGACACAGTGCGGGAGTAACCAATGGCGGGAGGCCCACCAGCCCCCGTGCTCAGACCTCACACACCCACCCTCTGTGGGCTCGGCGGGGCAGGGACCGTACTGTGGTCACCGCTGTGTCCACAGCACCCAGCAGTGGGTGTGGCATAGGGCTGGGGCTCCTGGACTGTTTTTTTTTTTTTTTTGAGAGGTTTTTGCTATAGGGCGCGTGCACTCGCCAGATAGAGAGAGACAGAGAGATAGAAAGCGAGAAATCACCCCCCAGGGGGGATGGCCACGCCGCAATCCCTTCCCCTCCATTCTCCTCTCGGGATCTTGGGCACGCACGCACACGCACTCGGCGTGAGTTTAAGCCACCGGGTCTGAGACTCGAACCGCGGTCGACTACGTGGGAGTCCAGCGACATAGCCATTACGCTAACTGCTGGTCCCATGGACTGGTGTTTGAAAGGGGAACCATGGCTACCCGCGTTACCGAAACCCGGCGTGTGCAGGGTGCCGCTCTGAGGCCCGGCTGCCGGGTATTTCTGTGACACTGTGCGGTCACGTAACACACGTGGCCACCCCAAGCAGGCTCCTGGCTGGCCTAACTCGGCTTGCTGTAGGCCACTGCAGGCTGTTCCAAGTATGAGGTTCGGAGCGCCGACCTCTTTCTGGGTGGCGGGAGCCTGAGTCTGCCCCTGTCCCCTGGGAATATTCACAGGGAGACAATTTCAGGCAGAAGAAATCCTTCCCTCCCCCCAGTTTTCAGGACAAAATAATCTAAGCCAGTGAGTCACAGGCCAAGGCTGGGCCGTGGGATTTCAGGGAAGTCCCCGGCCTTCAGCCCCCGCCTGCCCTCGGGCGCAGCCTAAGGTCCCTGGAAGTCCAGGCCCCCATGAGGGCAGATGACACAGTGCTTAGCTCCCGGGACAGGAGGAACTGGTACTGGGTGGACCCAGAGTGGGTGACAAAGGAAGGGGAAAGGAAGTGGCTGGAGGATGGGGGGGAAGGTGGTCCCGCCATCACTCCTAGGGCTGAGGGGCCAGGACTGTGCCCTTCTGCCTCCCACACGTCGTCACACACGCTTTCACCGGGACAGTGAGGTCACAACAGGGAGATTTAGTCAGGGCTCACACCGCGTTCGTGCTCACAGGAAGGCTTTACGGGAAAATCACACGCGCGGTGCGTAACAGTCCCCTCACAAAACAGCCTCGCCCTATTCTAGCCAAGGCTCAGAGAGGCTGCTTGGCTCGGCCCTGGTCACACGGCAGGGAGAGGTCGACAAGCCAGGTGGGCGACTGACATGTGTCAGAGGCTGTGACCGCCAGCTTCCTCCCTTCCTGGGCAGTGCTGCGTGGCCAGTCTCTGCACTTGGGCTTCAGCATGGCAGGGCAGAGGACGGAGTGGGCAGAGGGCCGAGGGCCGAGGGCCGAGGCGGGTGGGTGGCAGCAGCTCCAGCGGTGCAGGGGAGAGTGGGGAAGGGAGGGCAAGAGCCGGAGCAAGGGCACAGGTGTGATGGGGCCTGGGCGCCCGGGTCAGTTGGAGCGCATGGTTCTCTCGATCCAGGGCGAGTACTTGCAGATCTGGTTGAAGACAGGCGGGCGCTGGGTAGAGCCGCAGGGGTAGTCGCCCCATGAAAGGATGCCCTGCAGGGTCTCGCCACAGACCAGGGGGCCGCCCGAGTCACTCTGGGGCAGGAGGAAAAGGAGGTCAAATGTGTCGCCAGCACTTCACCCCAGTACTCGGTCACTCTGCGGCCTGGGCAGTGATGGGAAGTGAGGCCTGGGGTGAGACGAGGTGGGGTGGGCTGGAGCTGGACTCGGGGCTCCGGGGTTGGAGGGGTGAGAAGGGCCCTGTGTTCAGGTGAGGGATGAGGTGGATCTGGAGGTGACCTGAGAGGGAGCAGCCTTGAGGGGAGGGTGGAGGCCCTGCTGGGAGGGGGCGGGGCAGGGGTGGGGAGTGGGATTGCAGACAGGGGAAGGGTCTTCTCTTTCCCCATAACCTCCCGGCCCTCTCTCATGTATCAGAGTCCCTCCCAGCCAGACCCTACCTGGCACGGGTCCTGGCCCTGGTCCAGCCCAGCACAGATCATGTTGTGGGTGATCACGCCGGGGTAGAAGGCCTCGCACTCTTTAGAGCCCAGGACGGTGACTCGGGAGCAAGCCAGGCCCTTGTTGTACTTCACTGATGGGGGACGCAGAGAGCTCTCTGAGTCCAGCCCAGTCCTCGGACGAATCCAAGGCTGTTCCTGTCTTAGCCCGGTCCCCCCACCCCATCCACCACTCAGACGCAGCTCCTCCTCCCTCAGACGTGTGAGTGTGTGTGTGTGTGTGTGTGTGCGTGTGTGTGCAGCCCACGTCCCTCCTCCCCACACATGTGTGTGTCCCCCCTCCTTCCTCCCCGTGTGTGTGTGTGTGTGCGTGTGTGTGCAGCCCACGTCCCTCCTCCCCACACGTGTGTGTGTGTGTGTGTGTGTGCAGCCCACGTCCCTCCTCCCTGAACGTCAGGCCCCACCGTCCCCAGCTCTTGCCTCTCCGGGCGGCCGTCGTGCCCCAGCCAGCCACCTGGCACTGGTCTCCAGGCTGGGCACAGTGGTAGGGCAGCCGCAGGGTCTGGACCTTGGGCCCGAGCACAGCAGGCCTGGCCAGCTTCAGCATCATGAGGTCGTGCTCATCGGTCCGCCTGGGCAGGACAGGGCCTGAGCCGGGGTGGTACTTGGGGTGGACGACAGCCTGGGTGGTCTGGCGGAGCTGTTCGCCCTGGAGGAGCAGCAGGTGGTCGTCACCAACTCTGGCCCACAGTGACCTGGGGAGGGAGGAGCCAGTTGGAGGCCGCCCCCTAGGGAGCTGCGCTCCAGCCCCCGGGAAGAAGGGCTCTCCTGGGGTCTGCGGGAACTGAAGGCTGGGGCGTCTGTCCACACTAGGCCCTGACCTCTGCCTGTGGCCTACTGCTACTTGTTTGCAAATGAAACCCGGGGAGAACTGGCTGGACAGGCGCCCGGCTCAGAAATGCTGAGAAGGCCCATGCCGCCCCCTGGCGGCTGCAGCACAAGCCTCGCCTTTTCTCCTCCAGGAAGCCCTCACAACTGACCCTTCTCGAGCTGGGAGTGGTGCAGGTGCCCCAGCCCTTCCCGCCCCTCCCCGGGGGATGCCGCCACAGCCCCTTCGCTGCGCCCGGTAGGAGCTGCCCTACTTCTTGGTCCTGCAGTGCGCGGCCGTGAGCACCCAGCTCTGGTCCACCAGGACGCCGGCGCAGCGGAACGAGAGGCCTTCGAAGAGGGAGACCTGCCAGGGCTGCGAGCCGCGCGCGCACGGGGCGCCAGAGGCCGTGGGGTTCGAGGCCGTGTAGTTTCTGGGGAGCAGCGCCGCCTCCGTGGCTGGAGAAAGGAAAGAGAGGAAGGATCAGAGCAGGCAGGGCAAGGGCTGCAAGCAGGTGCACGCAGGGGCCTGGAACCGGGCTGAGGGGAGCGCAGCTGGGCGGGAGGGGAGAATTGGGGGAGCCTGCGTGAACTGGAGGAAGCGGGAAGAGAAGAGGGACGTGAAAGTGGAAGGAGATGGTGACAGGTGTAGTAGGGCAGGGAAACAGAACGGGGGTGTCTGGACAGCTGGAGGTGGACTCGGCGGGCGGAGAACCGAGCCGGGCCGAGCTCCGCGGGGCGGCAAGGGCGGAGCTATAAGGGGAGGGGCCCGAGCTCCGCGGGGGATTAGGGGCGGAGCTATAAGGGGAGGGGCCCGAGCTCAGCGGGGGATTGGGAGCGGGGCTATAAGAGGGGGGCCACGCCTCCGGGCGCTCTGCGGGCGATTAGGGGCGGGGCTATAAGGGCGGCGTCCGAGGCGGCCCGGGGCGGCCCGGGGCTAAGGGGCAGCGACTGCTCGCCAGCGGGTTGCGAGGGGCTGGGAGAGAGCGGAAGGCGGGGAAGGGGCGGCATTAATAAAATGGTGCTGAAAAGAGGGCGAAAGTAAAAAGCGGTAAAGCAAGACTCGAGAAAACTGTCTTGAAGAGGAAGCAGCGCGGGGACGGAGTGGATAGGAGCAAGCGGAGGGGAACGAGCCGGGGTAGCGGCCCTGGCGGCCAGAAGGGGCTGGGGACCGAGCCCCGGGAAGCGGGTGGAACAGGGCTCCCAAGCAGACGAATGCGCGGGAGGGCTGTCGGCAATGCACGCACTCTGCGTCCCCAGTCGGCTCCTCCCGCCGCCCCGCGTCCCCCGCCTCACCCCAGAGTTGTGCCATCAGCAGCGGGCGGAGCGACGTTC